GATGCAAATATTAATATTTTCCACACAAAAGTTTGGGGTCATTTGAATCGCTAAATATTGACCTATTATCATAAAACGGACCATGATCCTCTACTCTATGTCTAATTTCGTGTTGTTCGGGCAATATCTGTGATCTCTAGAGCGTCTCAAAATATGCATACAAATATTTTTTTGGTCCATTTGAGTTCCTGTAAATGAACGGATCATTACCAAAACAGTAGGAGTCTATTTGGGGAGAACCGAACCTGGCCTGTACTGTATTTCCATATTGTGGTGATGGATAAATACATAGACAAACACATACATAAATACAAATACATACATACAACAGCTAGTCGAGATATAGCTAAAAGGAGGGTCTAGGACCAATATTTCGTGGCGTTACGAGCTTTTGGGCAACATAGTTGGGTAGGGTATAATAATGTATATGAGAAGTACATTTAATCTAAACTGATGTGAATAAATCTAAAAATACATCATTCTAGTCTCAATACGGTACACTTTGGTACACCATTTCCATAAAATCAGATGAAAACTTGGAACAAAGTACATCCCATAAAATCTGAAATAAATCTGATTTAATTTCCAAGTTGTCGAAAAATGGGCCAGATCTGGAAAAACATTCAAATTGAAACAAGCGAAAAAGCGTTAAGCGAACTTTGGATACCCTCCACCATAGATGTACTGACAGGTACTAGAAATGAAAATATGGGGAACAAACCAAAAAGTGGACCAATAAAAAGGGATTATGTAAACCATAATAAAAAATTCAGTAATTTTTAATGGATAATTACACACTGTGGCTAATTGAAATATCGATTCTAGACCCCATGTTTCTTTGGACCAAATCCGTTCCAGTAAAGTTGGATTTCATTCAAACCTCGCACATCTTATTATTTCTTCCAAACTTAGTTCAAATTCGAAGATGGGGAATATCGGTCCACTTCTTCTGGTACCTCCACACAGGGGCTAGGTCTAAATGCGGCTATAGTTCATTATCGAACCTTACGTTCTAATTTTTTATCTCGCTATCCTCCACAGGTGAAATGATTACAACAGAGTCTTAGAACCAAAATTAAAACGCGTAACAAATCAGATAACTATTTTAATATAAATAATATAAACAAGGGGGTTATATGTTGGTAGGGAGATTTGTTACCATATACGACTACAAAATACCAAATTGCAGCAAATTCGGTTGATAAACGCGTTCAAGAACCCCAAAATACCGAAAATTGGGGGTATCCTTATATGGGGGCTATCCGAAAAAATGGATCTATATTCATAATTTTTTGTGGGGAGATTAAGTACCTATTAAGAATTCAAAATACTAAATTACAGCTAATTCGGCGGAAAAATACGATCAAAACCCCCAAAATACTGAAAATTAGGAGGTACCGTTATATGGGGACTATCAGAAAAAGTGGACCTATATCCATAATTTTTTGTGGAGAAATTTATTACCCAATAGGAACCCAATAAAGCAAATTTCAGCGAATTCCGTTGAAAAACGCGGTCAAGAACCCCAAAATACCAAAAATTGAGGGGTACCGTTATATGGGGGATACCAGAAAAAATTGACCTATATTTATAATTTTTAGTACGTTTATTTGGTACCCAATAAGAACTCAAAGTACCAAATTTCAGCGAATTCTGTTGAAAAACACGCGGAGGTACCGTTATATGGGGACTATCAGAAAAAGTGGACCTATATCCATAATTTTTTGTGGAGAAATTTATTACCCAATAGGAACCCAATAAAGCAAATTTCAGCGAATTCCGTTGAAAAACGCGGTCAAGAACCCCAAAATACCGAAAATTGAGGGGTACCGTTATGTGGGGGGTACCAGAAAAAATTGACCTATATTTATAATTTTTAGTACGTTTATTTGGTACCCAATAAGAACTCAAAGTACCAAATTTCAGCGAATTCTGTTGAAAAACACGCTCAAGAACCTCAAAATACCGAAATTTTGGGGTTACCCTTACATGGGGGCTGTCCGAAAAAATGGACCTATATTTATAATTTTTAGTGGGGATATTTGCTACCCAATAAGAACTCAAAGTACCAAATTTCAGCGAATTCGGTTGAAAAACACGCTCAAGAACCTCAAAATACCGAAAATTGGGGGGTATCCTTATATGGGAGCTACGCCTAAACGTGAACCGATATAGCCCATCTTCGAACTTGACCTGCCTGCAGACAAAAGACGACTCTATGCGAAATTTTGGGGCTCTATCTCAATTCGTTTAGACACTAGAGTGATTACAACAGACAGACGGACAGACGGACATGCATAAATCGTCTTAGAATTTTACGCTGATCAAGAATATATATACTTTATAGGGTCGGAGATGATTATTTCGATGAGTTACAAACGGAAAAACAAAATTAATATACCCTCCATACTATGGTGGAGGCTATAAAAATCAGCAATACCGACTGATTCCTTGTAATTTGTTAATAAATATGTATAGCCTTTGAGAATTGAAGTCTTATTTCCCGTACATTTATGCTAATATATTTTTTAAAACTGTGTAGGAACTACAACTACTGTTATATGGGAGCTATGCCTAAACGTCTTCGAACTTGACCTGCCTGCAGACAAAAGACGACTCTATGCAAAATTTTGACGATCTATCTCAATTCGTTTAGACGCTAGAGTGATTACAACAGACAGACGACATGGCTCATAGAATTTTACGCTGATCAAGAATATATATACTTTATAGGGTCGGAGATGATTATTTCGATGAGTTACAAACGGAAAAACAAAATTAATATACCCTCCATACTATGGTGGAGGCTATAAAAATCAGCAATACCGACTGATTCCTTGTAATTTGTTAATAAATATGTATATCCTTTGAGAATTGAAGTCTTATTTCCCGTACATTTATGCTAATATATTTTTTAAAACTGTAATTTGTTTACTTCCAGAGATGTCCATCCAGAAATTTATAAACGTGCAGTGCGTCGTACTAAGCCAACATTGTATATATCACTGTTTTTGTGGGTCTGTTTAGTCATCTATCTCTCGTATCCAATAATCATTTACATAACTAAAGATCACAGTGTAGGAAGTACAACTAGAAATTTTCCATTTCCCACCGTATTTCCCTATGACGTGGAGGGCTATTGGAATTATATTTTTACGTACGCCTTTCTGAGTTATGTTGGTTACATTGTTGTGTCGCTCTTCTATGCCATCGATGCCTTGTTGGCATATTTTATAAGTTTTGTTGCAGGACAATTTGAGATTTTACACGCTGATATTGCACGTCTCATACCGGAATGTCATGCTGAGTGGTTGAAGCGATATGGTGGTTGCCGTGGTGGTCCTTCCTCTGAGAATTCCATGAAATTGAATTGTCTGCAGGAGATGTATACAAAGCGTTTGCATCGAATAGCAGCACGGCACAAAGAAATAATAAAGTAAGAAAACAAGGGATTTTTTCTTATTGGTGTGGAGTAAGATAGTTGCTATAAAAGGAATTTTTTTTGTTTCAGATTTTGCAAGGAATTGGAAAATTTTCTTTCATTTCCATTATTCGCCAATTACTCCACGTCCACATTTTTAATTTGTTTTGTGGGGTTCCAGTTCATAATTGTAAGTATTTGTGTATTATGCACCATGTGAAATATTCTTGGTAGGCTAATCCACGATCGCTAACTCTTTTAGAATTTCAAAATATTCCCTAACTTTATACCGATTTTTCATTTCAGGCCGGTCGAAGTTCCTTTGGTGATTTTATGAAATTTCTAATGTTCTTTTTGGCGGTGATTGGGCAATTATTTGTTGTATGTAAATTGGGAAATTTACTAATAACACAGGTATGTGGAACGGTCAATTAGTTTAAGAAAGATTCTTATAACATTTTGTAATGCTTGGTTTTAGTCAACAGATACTGCCTTCTATTTATTTTCCTGCAATTGGGAAGGTGGTTATTTATCGAAAAATTCCCCACTCTTTTTACATCCCGAAATTTTGGAATTAGAATCCTTGAATATGAAACTGCCGTTGTGGAAAGAGTTAAGTTACTATCCAGCCAATCGTAATTTTCGACAAAAATTGATGTTTATGATAATGCGTAGCAACCGGCCAGTTCAATTGAGTGTCATGCAGTTTACTGTGTTATCATTGCAAAGTTTTAATAGGGTACTTAAATCATTTTAAATGTCGTAAAATGTTACTAAATTAAATTTGTACTCTTTCTCAGGTGGTATCAAATTCGCTTTCCTATTTTGCGCTACTAAAATCATTTATGGACAAATAAACATTTTAGATTTGTTTGTATCGCTTTTTCGACAATTAAATAATAAATTTGAAAACACCAAATATGTTATACGAATTTGAATTAAATTGTTTTTAAATATACGACCATGTGAGGTCCTAGATGCCCCACATTTGCATAGATTATTGTTAATTTTTTCCCCGAATATATTTTTGTTGAAACGTTTAAAAATGTCGTTGAGTTCTACCAGCTCCCATCTATATATTTTCGTCCGATTTGATGTAAATGATGTATCAAAGTCCCTATATATCTTCCGATTTGGACGAAATTTGGCATAGCGTACTGAATGGAGTCTAGAGTGATGTGTGTTAAGTTTCATGAAAATGGGTTCAGATTTATATATGTCCCTATATCTTTAGATTTGGACGAAATTTGGCATAGTGTACTGAATTAAATCTTGAATGATGTGTGTTAAGTTTCGCGACAATCGGTCCAGATTTGGATATAGCTCCCATATATTTTGGACCGATTTAATTATACCCTTCACCACACTGTGGTACAGGGTATTATGTCTTTGTGCATATGTTTGTAACAGGCAAAAATAATCGAGATAGACCCATGGTTCCTTTTGAGAATATGCATAGAATCACTTTCTGAGTCGATTTACGCATGTCCGTCTGTCCGTCCGTCCGTCTGTCCATGTTAAATTGTAAACAAAGTACAGGTCGCATTTATGATCCGAATTGGATGAAATTTGGCACAGGTCATTTAATTGGCCCAAGGACGAACCCTATTGAAATTGGAGAAAATCGGTCCACGTATAGGCATAGCTCCCATATAAGGGTACCCCAAAATTTTCGGTATTTTGAGGTTCTTGAGCGCGTTTTTTAACTGAATTCGCTGAAAGTTGGTACTTTGAGTTTTTATTGGGTAGCAAATCTCCCTACCAAAAATTATAAATAAAGGTCCCTTTTTACGGATAGCCCCCATATAAGGGTACCCCCAATTTTCGGTATTTTGAGGTTCTTGAGCGCGTTTTTTAACTGAATTCGCTGAAAGTTGGTACTTTGAGTTTTTATTGGGTAGCAAATCTCCCTACCAAAAATTATAAATAAAGGTCCATTTTTTCGGTGAGCCCCCATATAAGGGTACCCTCAATTTTCGGTATTTTCGGGTTCTTTGGCTCGTTTTATAACTGAATTCTTTGAAATTTTGTACATTGGGTGCTTATTGGGTACCAAATTACCCCATTAAAAATTATAAATATAGGTCCAGGTTTTCTGGTAGTCCCCATATAACGGTACTCCCAATTTTTTGGTATTTTGGGGGTTCTGATCGTATTTTTCGACCGAATTGATTGTTCTTATTAGGTAACAAATCTCTCCACTGTAAATTATAAATATTGATCAATTTTTTCTGGTAGCCCCATTATAAGGGTACCCCCCAATTTTCGGTATTTTGAGGTTCTTCAACCAAATTCTATTTATGCCCTTCACCACACTAAGGTACAGGGTATTATGTCTTAGTGCATATGTTTGTAACAGGCAAAAGGAAACGAGATAGACACATGGTTCCGTTTGAGAATATGCATAGAATCACTTTTTGAGTCGATTTGACAAAAAAAAAGGTCTAAGTTTCGTGAAAATCGGTTCAGATTTATATATAGCTCTCAAATATATTTTCGTCCGATTTAATGTAAATGGTGCACCAAAGTCCCTATATATATTTCCATTTGCACGAAATTTGGCACAGCGTAATGAATTATCTCTAGAATGATGTGTGTTAAGTTTCCTGAAAATCGGTTCAGATTTAGATATAGATCTCATATATATTTTCGTCCGATTTAAGGTAAATTGTGCACAAAAGTCCCTATATATCTCTCGATTTGCACTAAATTTGGCTTAGCGTAATGAATTAGGTCTAGAATTATGTGTGTTAAGTTTCCTGAAAATCGGTTCGGATTTAGATATAGCTCCCATATATATTTTCGTCCGATTTAATGTAAATTGTGCACCAAAGTCCCTTAATATCTTTCGGTTTGCACTAAATTTGGCACAGCGTAATGAATTAGGTCTAGATGTGTGTTAAGTTTCCTGAAATCGGTTCAGATTTAGATATAGCTTCTATATCTGACCAAATGAAAAATTTAGTATAGGTTCCAGAATGGCATGTTTATGGATCGATTTTCATGTTAGTGGTCCTTCAAAAATTCGACGTCTGTTATGATTCATCGGTTGAATATGCCCAAAGTGGTGAAGGGTATCATATAGTCGGCCCCGTCCGACTTTACTACTTTCCTTACTGGTTTTAATTTTTAATTTTGCACGAAATTCGACATAGCGTACTGAATATAGTATAGAACCAGTGAGCGGAGCTGTATAGTCGGACGTGGCTGACCATATGATACCCTACACAACTTGCATTTCGAAATATTTGCACCTTCTTTTCCGACTTGGCGTCAACAAATATTACTAATATTCTGTATAATTACTTGTCCAGATCCCCTTCATCGTGTGTTGTGTTGTGATGTTCGGCTTTCAATGTGGCCTATAGACCGACTCGAAAAAACACAAAAAATTATCGGCGTGGTCCTTGACTACAACTGGAACCTCATGCACACTTTTAAAGCGATCAGCGCTATATTTCCGCCCTCCAGTGTGGTAATAGTTTACTAAATAATATCTGAGTACGTTAGCACCTGTAAATATTTACGTGTAACTCCCACATCCGAGTGCACACGACAATATAATTGGTATCAATTTTAAGGTCAAACACTCCTGTTGGGAATAATATTAACTTCTCGGGTCTATAAAATAAAATTTTTGTAATTTTTCACAGAAATGTTAGGGTCCATTTGACCCGCTAAATATTGACCGATCTTTATCAAAACAGGCATACTGGTCATAATTGCGGCATCTGGAGCGACCAGAAAATTTGACAAAAATAAAGTATTTGGTCCATTTCATCCCCTAAATATTAACCGACCTTTTCCAAAAACAATAGGGGTCTTCATTAGACAGAACCCATCCTATGTGCAAAATTTCGTGAAGATTGGTCCATAACTGTGGCCTGTACTGTGTTTACAAATTATAATGGACAGACGGGCGGACGGACACACATGTCTAGATCGACTTAGCTAGCTGAGATATGATGATCGGTACACTTAAAGGTGGGTCTAGGACCCATATTTCGCGGCGTTACAAACTCTTGGGACTGCACAAAGCTATAATACCCTGACAACATAGTTGTGTAGGGTATAATGATGTGTGCGAAGTTTCCTGAAAATTGTCCGATTTTGAGTCCCAAAGTTAGGCCGATCGCCACATAATTTTGCACAACGTACTAAAGTTTGTGTAACATAACATGTGTCAAGTTTTGCTGAAATCAGTTCGGATTTACATATGGCTCCCATATATATGTTCTTCCAATTTTAAATAAATGCTGCACCAAAGACTCAAAGTTAGGCCGATTGACACAAAATTTTGCACAACGTGATTAAGATAGTATAGTCAAGTTTTATTGGAATCCGTCCAGATTTAGATATATCTCCCATATAGTTTCGTCCGATTTTAAGTAGGATCCAAGGACCTAAAATATGTCCATTACGAACAAAACGTGCATAAATTAGTCTAACCTAACCTGTGACAAGTTTCGTTGAAATTCGTTCATATTTGGATATAGCGTCCATATCTATTTTCATCCGATTTTAAGTAAATGTTGCACCAAACTCTTCATATTTTTTTCAGAATAGAAGGCGTAATCTCGTGTAGAAGCACAGCTATAACTTCGTGTTAATTAGGCTCCAAATATTCAACGGGTGCCCGATTGATATTTGCTTAAATCGATTTACATAATTTTGTCCCATTGTAACAAACGAATGAAATGGTTTATGGATTGATCTTAGTCGGTTCACATTTAGATAAAGGTCACATTATTTAGTTCATCCAATTTCATGTTAATGGCCCTTCTGTTATGATGCATCTTTTAAATATACCCATAGTGGTGAAGGATATCATATAGTCGGCCCCGTCCGACTTTACTACTTTCCTTACAGGTTTTAATTAGCCTATAGACCGAGCCGAACATTATAACACATCACTTGGAGAAGGGATCGGTCAATATTCATCGAAATATTGCCCAGACACGGAATATAGACCCGCAGTCCCCGTCTGACTATATGGCTCTGCTCATTGGTTTAAGTCTAAATTCAGAGTTTTGCGCAAATCGAAAGAAATATAAAGGCTTTGGTACACTATTTACATTGAATAGGACGAAAAATAATATGAGAGCTTTATCTAAATCTGGATCGATTATCACGAAATTTTGCACATTCTAAAGCTTATTTAGTACGCTATATCAAACTTTCTGCAAATCGAAGGAAATGTATAGGCTTTGGTGCTTCGTAGTACGAAAATATATAATGTATATGAGAGCTATATCCAAATCGGGGAATATTTTCACGAAGATTAGCACACACATTCTACACTCATGTCAGTACGCTATGCCAAATTTCGTACAAATGGAATGAAATGTATATGTTGCAGATTGCACGAAACTTAACACACGTCCTTCTACACTTAATTTCATGCAAATCGAAAGATATACATGGACTTTGGTGCACAACATACATTAAATCGGACGAAAAAATATATGGGAGCAAAATCTAAATCTGAACCAATTCCAACAAAACTTGACACACGTTATACTATAATAACTTCAGTATGGGGGCTATATATAAATTTGGATCGATTTCTCCCAATTTTAAAAGGTTTCGTCCTTGGGCCAAATATTTTGGATCATAAATGCGATCTGTACTTTGCTTACAATTTAACATGGACAGACAGACAGATCTTCAAATGATGATCCCCGTTTAAGTCTTGTTTGTCTTATGATTTGCTGGTTGCTTCAAAAATGTCCTAATGATATTTTTCCTTACAACAACCATTTTTTGTTGATTTATAAATATTGAAGATTTTCTCTCTTAATCTCACTGTATCAAAGTGGAAGATCCGATGTGGAAGAAATTTGGCACAGTTCACTTA